TGAGATTTTCCTTTGTTTGAAAGAAACCTTGCGTGCTTTAGGTACTATAGGAGTAAGTCACAGCAATCCTGTTAAATCCTGCTGTACCTTTTTCTTTGCTGCCCACAAATTAAACATCTCTAAGAGCAAAGAGACTTGCTACAAGAAGACATGTTCAGCTGAACCTGTTTACTCCAAGAACAGCAGGGAGAAAAAACTGCTTTGGAAAGAGTCCGCTAGGAAACTCAGATTTTTTTTTCCCCTCCCTAGGAGTGCAAATTAATGTACTCTGAAGAAGTACAGGAACTGATGGCATTCATTTATGCAGCCCTGGTTTGTACGTGCTTGAAAAGAAAAAAATCTGACAGCTGTCTCACGAGTGCCTCGACTCTTGACGCAGGGAGAAGTCCTTACCCTGCTCTGGTTAGGGTGATCCAGGCTGATGAGACGCAGAATGCTACCCCAAAACACAAGCCAAAAACTGGTAAAGCAGAGAGAAAGCGTTAATCTTTCCGTAACAGCCTCTAGAGGTGAACAAAGCACACCGGTGATAAGCCAGAAGTAACGAACGCGCGGCTAAAGCAGCAGTCGAAAAGCTGGACTGCAAGCGCGCGTCAGCCGTGGGTTGTAAACACGACAGAGCTGCAACCCACAACTCAATGAACTCGGCACTCAAAGCTTCGAATAAGAGCAAGCTTTGAGCCCTTCACCCCCAGGCTGCCTTGCAAAGGAGCGCTACCACTTGTGGGCAGTGTAAGAACACTGCAGGTCAGAGAGGAGGATCCCCGCGAAAGAAAACTGTATTTATTTTTAAATCCCCGAAAGCTGCTGTTGCTCACAGTTTGATTCAATGCTGTTGACGCTGCGGTGTGGTACAGGTTGCTAGCATGGCAATCACCTTCATTTTCTCATGAACAATCCAACTTCTATATACTGCCTGCCTAATCTAATTTCAGAATTTGTGGGTTGCTTTTAGTTTTTTTCGGTTTTATAAAACAGAGGGTGGTCTAGGTTCATACTGGGGAAAAGGGGAGTTGAGGAAGGAAGAAGCAGAAAGAAGGTAACCCTCTACTTTCAATTCCTGCCCTATCAATCTTCTCTAAGGTCTGTCTTTCTGCTGGCTCTCCCTCTGGCTGCTCTAAGGAAAGCTCCTGCAGATGAAAATATAAAAACCTGATGGAGCATCCACTACCCCGGAAAGAATGCACCGAACACTCAGAAGGATACATTCTCTTACCTGATCAGAGTTTCAGAATGTAAAAAAAAGAAAAATAACGAGAAGGGATTTAACACTGGAAAAAGTACTACCTAGGCATGTGCACGCTGTCCATAGGTACAAGGCATTAACAAATCAAGATAAGTTTCCTCTTTCCAAAATACGTG